TGCCTCTATGGCTGACGCCTCCATGGCTGACACCTCCATGGCTGTCTAGTTTGATCTTAAAAGACCGGAGATATTCTGCGTCTGTGTTGTGCTTCCTAGTTACCCCAGTGAAAGGGAACGCCCTGGTGACCGGGGGGCATTTGAGGGTGCTGTGCTGTGGCCGCGGAGTGTGCCTGGTGATCTGGGGGCAGCAGGCGCCTCCTGTTTGCTTTTGTACTGCACCCCTTAAATATCACCATGCTCCCCTCCAGGCTCACTGCTCCAACACTCCCGTCTGCTCACTGGCTTTGGGGAATCTTCGCTTCCTAACGTAAAAGCATGGTTCACAGTCCTCAGTGGCCAGCCTTGCCTGGTTCTCTCAGTGTCTGCAGCACATTGCAGGACAGAAACTGAAGGGTGGGCGTGGACGTGTGCCTCGGCTGGCAGACAGATGCATGCACACGGAAGGAAACACACGTGTGCTGCAAGTAACTCTGATCTGAAGTGACTGGAGCAACCGAAATCTGTTCTGTTCCATTCGTTAGCAATGGTGCAGATCTGACGGTGATGTGAGACTATTTAAAAACATCCCACAGAAATGAGGGCCGCTGGAGGGAACTGAGAGCTGGCAGTCTGGGTGCTTTTGGGTATTTGAGGGTCTCGACACAAAGCCTCTGGACGGGTTGTTCCGCACAGGTGGGTGGTGCTCAGGGGTCTCTGTGACTTCCAGGGCCTGGGCACTGCTTCAGTCCAGCATCTCCTGATAAAAGAGAAGTCATGGAAGAGACTTTCCATAAATGGACTGAACAAAAGACAAGACTAGAGTGTGATTTTTCAAATGTTAACTGGTAAGTTAATAAACCCTGTTTCGGTTGCGAGGATGAGGAATTCACAAAAGCTGATTTTAGAAATGGCAGCTTTGAAGGGGACGCTCATGGAAGATAGCTTCAAGAAGTAAAGCCGGTCAGTATGAGCCAGGACGCCATCAGAGAGCTGGGCACTCTCTTCGGATTTTCAAGGTGTGTCTTCGTTGAAAATCTCCACTCTTCTTCCCCGAGAGCAGCTGCTTCTGGAATGCTCTTCTCCCCCGTGTCTTTGGTTTGCCCCCGGCCTGGGCTCCGGGGCACCTCCGGGCCTCCACAGTACGGGTGCTGGGAGGCCTCCTTGGCCAGCACCACCTGATCGCAGCTTCTCGGTCTCTTAGGCCGAGTCTGAAGAGAGAACAGCTGATTGACTAATCTCCCCTCCAGTCAGCTAAGGCAGAGGGCAGGCCCTCTGGGACAAAGCGGGCTCTCCAAGGCTTATCTCTTTATGGGATGTCTGAAAAGAAGGGTGGTGGGCAGGTGGGGGGAGCAACCGCCTGAACTGTGTTCGCTGTGACACCACCTGCGTACAAGGGGCTGCGGCTGGCGGTGGGAAGACGTGGTAGTGACTGGTACTTGCTGGGCATTGATTGCATGTCAGCGAGCAGGTCAGATGACATGTCTGTGAGTGTGTGGTGTCATCCTGTCTCCTGATGATGTAGGGACCACTATTAGCTATCATTTACAAGTGAGGAAACTGAGGCCAAGAGAGATCAAAACCGGGTCACCAGGCGGTGTTGGAGCCAGGCGGTCTGGCTCCACGTCCGATCCTGGGCCTGCGGTCTTAAGCATAAAGCTGACCTCCTTTGTTTTGGCTGCAAAGGCAGCTAAGGAGACGGTAATCTGGCAGCAGGGCTGGGCTCCACAGACCCGAGCAAAGCAAGACTGCATAATTAGGGGCTAAACATGGGCGTGAAGTAATCTGTATGTTATTAGAGTCTAGAAGAGGAAGAGACAGAACGCTGCGGGCTCAGCGGTCAGGAGGAAATGCGGGCTCCCCGAGCTTTTGAGAGCTTTTTCACTCAGTTTTAAGGAACTGTGATTCTTTTTGGAGACACTGAGGAAAAGCTGTTAAAGGAAGCTGTCCGAAAGCCAGAGACCTCTGTACAGGGGTGGGTTACGGTGGTGGAGCCTAGGTTTCTGGGCCAGATGTCCCTAGAACCACCTCCGGGCCCAGCCCTGGTGTCAGGCTGTCTTAGCCCCGTCCTTACCCTGTCACGGCCTCGTGTGTCATGAGCAGGGATCCCCGGAGCGCCAGCTGCATTTACAGGTGGTAGCGCGTGAGGACTTCCGCGCTCGGGGAGGGCGACGGTTAGCGGGTTTAGCGATCCACGCGTCCCCGTCTCCAAGCCCCAGTTCTGATATCATTTTCCCCACAATGGTGAGTGCACTGGAGGTGTGACTGTGTTTGACTTGATAAAAAGCTATTTTTATAGTTACCTTTGAATGTTCAAAATTAATACAGAGCCAAGCTTTTTGTAAAAATAAAGAAACCAAAAATTAATTTTCTCTCCGTTTTTTCCTTCTCTTTTCTCCTGTTCCTCAGATGGCTTCCCTTTATGTCTCAGGGCGTAATTCACTCAGAAGTTGAACTTTATCTTCAAGGTGAGGACTAATGACAGCTGCAGCAGAAGAAAGGACAGGATGGCTTTGATACAGCTGACGTCACAGAACGGCCCCCCGCGGCCCCCGTGGCCCCCTTTGCTAGCTTACCGTTGGCATCAAGATGTGCAGTTACTCCTCACAGTGGGAACTGGAGCCTGTGTGCAGTGTGTCGTGGCAGTGCCCGTGCCCTCCTGTGAGTGAGAAACCAGCCCGGGGAGCTGCTCCTGTTTCAGAGTTGAACTCACACTTCTTCTTCTCCCACTTGCAATGTCATCAGGCAGATCTGTTATTAACCGCACTTCACTTTTATTTTTGCAGAAATGCAAATAAACCATCCACCTAAAAGACAAGAGGAAGCAGATGGTAAATGCTATTGCCGCTTTTTGTCTTTTTAATCATCTGAAATACTCTGTTTCCAGATTACCCACCTTGTATAGTTTTTAGGATATTCTTACTGAGTTTAAACTATTGATTAAAAAATACTTAAAATGAATGTAGAAACAGGTATTAAATTATGGGTTTGATTTGTAAAGAAACTGACATAAGGGACTTTAGCTGTAAGAGCTTTTTCCTTCAATAATTTAAATACTTGGGGGGAAATCATCATTTTTCGAAGGATTAATCTCTGTTAGTTATACTTTTTTTAAACACTAACTTTACAGACTGGTTTCTCAGTTTTATTTTTGAGTCTTTTGAGATTAGCTGTTCTATTAGTTTCTCTTCAAATCATCCTATAACTTTGTTATTAATATGTTTATACTTTAAAGCTGATCTGAGTGAGGTAGACAGACATATTCCTAGTGTGCACATCAAATTAACAAACCTCTATATTTAAAAAATGTTTGTACCATGTGTGATATTTTGAAACTAGGCAAGGTTTAACGTTAACATTATTATATTCACAAACTCCTGTGCTGACTAGGTTGGCCACTGTGGTGCAGACATCACGTCTGCACTGATGGTTACCATTTGCACTTTTGATATTAGAAGTTACACTTCAGTTTATATTTTACTTTTCACTTTTTTGTGATTTATAGAGGGAAGGCTGTGCATGTATTGGACTGTTAATACGGACAGAATTTTACTAATGTTCTAGAACCTCTTAGTAATTTTAAGGAGTCTCAAAAGGTCTGTGTCTTATAATAAGCCCTTAAGTAACAAAGCTTGAAATGACATTCTAAGTAGAAAATTATCCATTAATTCCAGAACTTGGCAGAGCATATATGAATAATAGAAGCTAATAGTTTTAAACTGAAGATTCTAATTAAGGATAAAAATGTTGAAAGTCCTCTGTTAATAATATTAGCCATGGAATCAAGGTCAGTGGTATGGAAATGCAGTGAAGCCGCAGTGTGCAGCAGAGCTGTGTACCTCAGGCTTTGGTTGATATACTTTATCAGTGTCGTTTTGATTAAAATACATTGTTTTAAAGTTTTTTGGTTATTATTTCTGTGGTTTTTGTTTATCTTTATGAACTTATTAAAATGTCTTTTTTATAGTGTAAACGTGGATTAACCACAGACCTTAGTTCATGAGACACCACCATTGTCTGTCTGCGAATGGTCTTCTATCTTATTTCATTTTTAAATTCTGAAGAATATGATCTTTCAGATGTCTTAGGATATGATTCTAGAAATATACTGGTAGTCTTATAGTTGTATGAATAAGCTAATTTATGGTCTGGAAAGAACCCTGAGAAGTTAAGTAGTCTGACCTGATGAGGCAGTGTTACGTCGTGGTTGGGTGTTGAAGATCAAATGTGAGTCTTTGATTTTGAAAGTATATGAAGCGTGTTCACACAATTCGTACCTTGTAATGGAGCTGCAGTAGGAGGAGAGTCACGCCAGATGCGAATTCAGTTTCATGGTAGAAGGAAAGGAAAAGGAAAGAATCGACCGAGTTAATTTAATTTCATTTTGAGGTGATTAACGATTAGTACAACTGTGTCACTAACTCTGTGCTGTGTGTGATGAATTCCCAGTTACCTAAGACATGTTTCCCAAACTGTGACACCTGATAAACATAAATATTTATAGTTCATGTAGGTAAAGTCATTGCCCTAGTAAAACTGCACTTCTGCATTAGACTGGACTTGGCCATGAGAGCATGTTTAATGTTCATTGCTGGACTGAATTGTCCAACTTAGTGCGTGCTGTGTGATGCTCTTGCAGCTAACTACTGTGCTAAACCCGCTTATTAATGCTAAAAAATTTATATTAATCTTACAGTAATAAATGCATTTCAATTAATTCTAATTCTAATTTTCTCAAGATACGTTTGAATGATCTAGGAGAACAGCCATATCATACATGAGTAATGACATCTTTTCTGGTCCCGGGACGCTGTCTGGGTCCCTGGTCCGTGTGGAGGAGCAGCAGTGAGAACGTTAAGAGTGGGCACACGCAGTCTGTGCTGGGTGGGGGCTGACGTTTTAGATGTGTTGCTCTGTTCAGTCCTCACGGTAACCCCTGAAGCACATGGTATTGTTAGTCCGTTTTGCAGCTGATGAAACTAAAGGGCAGAAAAGCTGCTGCTGCTTTTTTTTTGACTTGCCTAGATCACACAGCTGGCAGCTAGTAGATTTAGAATTTGAATCCAAATGGTTTGACTCCATGGTCTGCACTGTTCTTGCTTTACAGGAACTTCTTCTAACTGCTCCGAGACGCTAATCACGCGCGCACGTGTGTGTGTGTGTGCGCGCGCGCGCATGGCTGCTGTGCCGTCGCGGTGACACAGCGCGCTCCGGAGGCAGAGAGGCTGCTGAGCATCTCAGTTAGTAGCGCAGATTCTAGATCTTGACGGCAGCACTTAACTCACTGCATGGCTGGGGGAAATCACTGTGTTTCTCTGTGCCTCAGTTCTGTCTTATAAAATGGAGACAATAGTAGAAACGACCAGGGTGCCGCGAGGATCAGGTGAAATCATATCCAGGCCCCGGAGCTTGTGGGGGGCCCAGCAGGTGTGCGTTTGCAGACGCCGCTGTCCCTTGCGATGAAACGCGTCACGGGTCTCGGGCATCCGGGCTGGAGCGCCAGCCCCTGCGCCGCCGTCCGCTGTCTCTGGGTCCGCTTCTCTGCTCAGTCTGTGCTTCCAGCGTCCTTTACTGCAGCGATAGATGATAAACAGAGCCAGAGAAGTGACGAAAGATTGACCCTGAACCAGTATCAGTCAGAATTATGTAATAGATTCACTGCTGCCAGTGCTTTATGGTTGCTTTCTGGACTGAAAGTGGAGAAAATTAAGTATTGTTTGAAACCATTTTATTCTAGGAAGCATAACTGTTTCTAATTCAGTATCATATTTGTCCCAACTCCTGTGATAGTCAGCATGTAATTTCTCTATTGCTTTCCACGTATAATAGGATTAATAATATTTGTCTCTTGGAAGAATAAAAATATTTGTAAAGTACTTAAAAATTTCAAAACCTCTCATGATCCTCTTACGAGGCTGTATTCTGAAGGACTTGTGAGTTATATACACAGAATCGTTTGGAGATAAAATTACCAAAATTAGAATAAAGTAATAATTTGTCTTGTTTACAATATCGTTGCCAATCTCATTGGAATATATTTACACACCCTTCAAAATCGGGGTGACACAAGGTCAGTGTTGTTTGTGTCGTCCTTGTGCTAATAACAAGGCCCATTATGAGGTACTTAGCAGTGTCCTTGTCCTCTGTACAGAAGCGACACTCATGGCATCTCATCAGGAAGACGTGTTCTTTGTTAACTGAGGAATCTTTTTATACTGTGCCGAAACGTTCTGAGTGATACATTGAATGTCCGTCCTCACACGTGAGATCTGTACTTTTCAAGGTACTTCTTGACAGATCCCCCAACGCTGCAGGAGTCTTTGACGTACTCGTTTTCGAAGAAGCTACTGTGGCTGAGTATTATCTTGGGCACCGGGACACAGGGGCTTTTAAGGTCAAAGTCGCCCTTCCAGGGCCGGGAGGCACAGAGAGACGGTGTTCATGCCGTACCTGAGGGCTGACGTGTGCACAGGGCCCAGCAGAGGCGGGGCGAGAAGGGCTCGTTCTGGTGACTGGGAGGGGTGTCTGGGAATGCCTCCTGGAGGAGGTGACCTCCGAGCTGAGCCTGGAGTCAAAGGTGTTCACCAGGTCGGGGCAGGAGAAGGGAGGTAAAGGAGAGGCGTCCTGGCAGAGGGACCTCAGGCCAACCCTGGAGGCGGGAAGGTGCCCTCGGGATAGCTGAAGGGAGGGGCAGAGGGAAGTGGTCACGTGAGAGGGGCGTCCGGGCTCAGAGGCTGCTCTGTGGGGTGCTGCAGGCTGTGGGTGTCAGTATTATGAGCAGAGCTGAGTTAAGCATTTGACAGGCATGTGAGTCTGTAAGTAATGTTAAAACATTGCCACGGAGGTAAAGATGGAGAGAGTTTTCTCTTATTCTGGCCTCTCAAGGAGCAAAGGGAATGTGGGTGGGCGGATCTCTTGGGTTCACCACCTCGAGGCTGGGGAGCCTCACAGGGCTCTGGGCGAGGGGATGGGTCTGGTTACCGTGAGGGCTTTTGTCCTCGGAGCCGCCTACAGGTCTGCATCTCTCCTGCCACGACGCGGTCCCTCTCACCAGGCAGGAGCCGCCCTGACGTCTCCTGGCGGCAGGACCGGCCTCCCTGGGCCGAGCCCACCCACCCCGGCCCCCGCCGTCTGCAGGGGCGCACTGGGTTCTGTCACTCTCCCCGCGTCTTCCTGCGATGCTTGGGTGTGTGTGCAGGCATACCTGCTGTCTGTGTGTCACCAGGCAAGCATGCCAGTCCCTGTTTTCACTGCGTCGTGTGGCTTTACGGCAGGCAGCCTGGAGAGCTCCCCCCTCACTACGTGAGCCAACAAGTACGCGGGAAGAGCTTCATTTACACACGTCCACCCCAGGCTTCTCTGCGCGGTCACTCCGTGAGCAGTTGCCAAGTAACTGCAAGCGTGTCTAGACACAGATGTGTCTCTGCTCAAGCACAGGGTCAGTTTTCTGAGCTGCAAAGTCAAGTGCACGGACCCCTGTCACAGAATGCGCAGAGCAGGGTAAGGCTGAAGTGCTAAAATTGACGGAAGGGCGTTGAACTTCACCAGCTACAGGGACTTCGTTCACCAAAATAACTCACTTGTGCCTTCCTGAAAATAAACCTCCAATTAGTAAGAGAGTTTGGAAAGGACAGTGTTCACAGCAGGCCCGCGCTCTGCGTCTTTCCTGAACCTGGGGAGTGAGAGCTGCCTCAGCCAAACCCCTTGTCTGCGCGCCGACGCCCAGGCCTCCGGTAGCAGCGCCGGGGGCGTCCAAGTGAAAGGGAATCAAAGGCTCCCGTCCGCGAAACGCTCTCGCCTGCTGTTCTGCGCACAGGCAGCCACCCCAAAACAAGCAGCGGCTCAAAGCAGGAATTCGCTGTGTGCTGCCGCCCTTCAGCGGCTCGGCGAGCCTCGGCCAGGTGCCTCTGACGGAACCTCTCCTGGGATTTTAGTCCAGCGGTGCTGCGGGTGGGGCTGCCCTGGGGGCTCAGCCAGGCTGCCGGTTCTGGGGCCGGGTGCTCGCCTGCAGTGGCCCACCTGCCGGAGGCCTCTCTGTGTGCCTTGGGTTTTCACAGCGCGGCTCCTGGGGTCCACCAGGGCGTGCTCTCACCGGCCCAGGCTGACTCAGAATTGGAAGTCCCCGAGTGCCACTTGTGCTGCTTTGTATTGGCCAAGGACAGCCCAGACTCAAAGGGAGGGACACAGACTCCACCTGTTAATAGAGCAGCATCTACGGAACACAGAACTGCAGACACAGTGAACAATCTATGGTCACAGTGGGGGCGGGAAGGGTAAACTCAGGGGTCTGAGGTCTGCAACTGTTAGCCACCATATATAAAAGTAGGTTACAAAAAACAAGTTTCTTCTCTATAGCACAGGGAACTATATTCAATATCTTGCAACAACCTTTAATGAAAAGAGTATGAAAATGAATATATGTACGTGTATGCATGACTGGGACATTGTGCTGCACACCAGAGACTGACACACTGTAACTGACAGTACTTCAATTAAAAAATTAAATTAAATTAAATTAAAAAAAACAGAGGAGCAGAATGGTCACTTGCAGAAGAGCAAGTGGGTTGGGAGAGATTGGTGAGGTCTTCTTTATTTTTAAATTTTTTTTATTGAAGCATAGTCAGTTTACAATGCTGTGCCAATTTCTGGTGTCCAGCATAATCATTCAGTCATATAGAAATATACATATATTTGCTTTCATATTCCCTTTCACCATAAGTTACTACAGGATATTGAATATAGTTCCCTGTGCTCTACAGTGTAAACTTGTTGTTTATCTATTTTGTGTCTACTGGTTAGTGTCTACAAATCTAGAGCTTACCATTTACCAGAGGGGAAAGGGGTGGGAAGGTATTGACATGGTGAGGACGTCTTGAAATAATGCAGCGTGAGCGGGCAGGAGACGCCTGGTTTGTCCAGGCTGTCCATGGTAAATAAACCTGGTATTCCACTCGAGCAGCAGGGCGCCCTGACAGGTCATGCACCAATGACGGTGCCGTGTCCAGTGACACTTTAATGACCAAAACAGGCGGCAGGCTGGATCTGGCCAGTGCACAATCATTTGCCAGCCCTGTGCCTGTCATTTCTCCAAAGGAGGAACGCTTAGCCTGTGGTTGCTAGTGAACCGTTAGTAAACTTGGTATTAGGTCAGATCTGTAAACTCTGCTGAGTCTGACTTAACAGTTTGACTCACATGGTCCCTTAGCCTCTTGAATGTCTACCACAGGCTTGTTCATCATGTGGACACTTAGTATCTGTAAATCGGCTGGTCAGCAAGGATTACTGAGTTCCAGATGTTGCAGCATTACATCCTGAAGTTCAGGACTTCCCAGTTCAGTAGTGTGTACACTTACTGCCCTTAGCTGTGCAGGACTGCAAGTGACAGGCTGTATGCTGTTCATTGTTAGGAAAATTCCTGGTAAGCCTTACTGCCTTTATTGACGAGACGTCCACGTTTATTATGGGCTACTTGAGGTAGATTAACGGCAATGGCTTATTGCATCATCAACAAACATTTTTTAAAGCTCTTCAAAATCCTGGTAAATATAAGATAAATATTTAAACTTCAATTACTTGAAATTCTCTCTCTTCCTTTGGGAGCTTTGCATTAATAGAAATGATTTCTAAAAGGGTTAACAGATGACAGTATTTTTTTTGGTGTGACTCCTTGGGGTTGAACAAATGGCACCCATAAATAAATAAAAAAAGACAGAAACTTGTAGAGACAAGATATCTGAACTCATGTTATTTTGATTTTTTTTTTTTTTGGGGTGAAGAAAGTTTCACGACAGAAAATAACGGGGAAAAACTTTTAATTGTGACAATATTATAAGTAATACAAACAGTATGAACATACTTTTAGCTCTGATAAAAACAAACTGTTTCTCAGGACAGTGGAACTTTTCAGCATAGTCTCAGAGTATTTCTAACATTATTTTCAACAAATGTTCCTAACTATCTTGTATCTTAGATAGTAAGACATTCTTAGAGAAGTTAAGCGGTCACGCTTTAAAAGCATACCATAGGACTGCTGGAAAGCACTTGCTTTTGTCCAGCAGCAGAAAAGAAAATTATGCCCAGGAAAACTTGAAAATAACAGAAATCACCACCGAAGGCATTCCATTCATTACCCTAAAGCTCACACCCTGGTGACATGCTGGTTCCACAAGGGAAGACACAGGAGAGCTACACGCATCCGTGGTGCGTGGATGTTTGTCTCTGTTTTAGTGAACGACATCCAGGCCGCTGTGCGGGCTCACTCCTGACCTTCTCTCCGTGACCGCGTGATGCCGAGCCCCAGGGCAGGCCCCGGCGGCAGGGGAAGGAGGAGGGTGCGATGGAAGAGACCTAAGAAAAGGAAGGAGCTTCTTTACCTTCTTGAATTATGCATCGAAGCGCAGGCGGAAAGCCTTCTTTAAGCACTGATGTCGTGATAGGATTCTCCATGGAATTGTAGTTTGAAGTGTGTGTGTTTCCCGTTTTCCTGCATGAGTTGCGTTTCCTCAAAGCACGCATCCTACGTGGCAGACGTGCAGGCACCCCGCCTCGGTTCTGCCCTCCTTGGCTTTTTGGTACCATGTTAAGTTCCACCTTTATTGTCAGATGTAGCATTACACAAAATTTACTTGACACAAGTTTTGTGAAGCCAGTTAGAGATACTCGAGTGATCTTTGTGGATATATTGGGGAAGAGAGAGTAGCATTATGTATTAAAAAGGAAGATAACCTCTTGGGGGAGGCATCACTGAGAACTCAGGTGATCAGAATGGTGATGAGTCTTCAAACTATAATGTTTGAAAATATAAAAAATACTCAAAAGGCAGTATGTGTTTCCGGGGCTTTTAAAAATAGCAATGAAGACATCTTTAGGTCCCCCCTGCAATCCAGGGATGCCCTGTGATGAGGAGAGGTCTGCCTGCAGGACCTCATCCCCTGTCACGCCCGACTGCCTGATGTGGGCTCAGCGTCAGAGGGTTTTACTGCCGCAGGGTTGATGGTGCAGTTGTCCAAAGCGCACAAAATGATCAAATAAATACCATCTCAATTTATCTTTCCAATGAAACCAATCGTGGAACAAGTCATAGATCTTGTTAAAAGATGTTTTCTGTCATGCTCTGCGCACTCAGCCTTCCGGTGCACCCAGCATCGCCACGGCAGGGGGCTCAGCCATCCATTCTGCTTACACGATGCATTGTCTTTCTCGATTTCACATGCGTCTTGTCTTCATCCTCCCTCTCCCAAACTCAGCTCCCCTGGCTGGGTCTTACAAACAGCATGTTACTCCTGATTTGTTGGTTCTTTCCAGCCCTTAGGGGACTCCAGTATTTTTTCTTGAAAAAAAATTTAGCTCCTTTGGCTTTGTTTTTTAGGTCTTCCACATCCTCATCGTGATTCTGCTAGAATCACCAAACTGTTGCCAGCCCCAGCTTGACAGGGCGCTCCCTCGTGCAGATACTGCCTTCATGTCAGGCTCTCAGTGTATCTGTATCCATCCACACTGAAAGATTTGACAGTGATGCCTAAGTAAACTCCTCATGCCTTCGAGCCAAGCACTGGTACTAAATGCGTCTGAAATATCTCCTCTCCTGAAAAGCCCACTGCTTATTTGCTTTGCGATTAAAATGCTGTAGTATTTCCAAAACTTGTCAACATGCTACCTTCCAAAAGGAGTCCATGATTAGCAATTATTTTTAAAACTTACTGATTTCACAAATTATCCATTTCATAACTAAGTTGATTATGTAGGATTCTTCGCTTCCTAGTATCAGCATGGTTTTTCTCCACAATTTCGTATTGATTTTTTTTTCCTTTGCAGAAGGAGATTGGAAGGTGACAGTTGTCACCGGGGATCTTGAAAATGCTGGCACCACGGCAACAGTATCTCTTTCTGTCTATGGAGAAGCAAGATGTTCAGGTCCCATTATTTTGGGATCTGGGAAACACCACCTGTTTAACCCCAACAGTGCAGATATATTCAAGGTAAAATTGATGCGTATAACTTTCTTCCTAAGACGTACCGCAATAAACATCGCCTAGGATGAGATGGAGAGTAGTCTGGTTTGTTTGTTTTGGTATTGCCTTACACTTTCTTGGTAAACAGGAAATCTTCTACCCCAAGGGGGGTGGGAAACAAGAATAATTCAGGAACGTAAGATTTTTGTTTCTCCCTTACTTTTTATTTGTATGAAGCCAACAAAGTCTATGAACTTGAGCAAGTTTAAAAATCAGAGCAAAGAACATTTACTCCTAATCCTGCCACGTAGCTGGCTATTTCCACTTTGAATGTCTTTTCTCGTCCTTGTCCGTCTGCGTGGAGCACGACGCTTTGCTGGGAAGGTGGCGCAGCCTAATGGTTCGGACGTGGCCTGAGGAGTCCGAGGGCCAAGATTCAAATGCTGGCTTCCCCACTGACCAGCAGGGTGGCCTCTATAAGTTCCCTCACTGCTGTGTGCCCGAATAGGGTTACCATGAGGATTGAATGAATCAATCCATGGAAAGTGTTTAGTGCCCCAAATGCTCAGTGAATGTTTGCTATTAACGCTGTGGTACGTGGGGAATTTTGTAGCCCCTTAGTTAAACACGGAGCTGGTCTTTCCAATTACGATTTTTATTGATGAAATATTGAGTATATGAAATTTACCACTTCATTAACCAGGGGTAAAAAAAGGACTTTGCCACTGTTGGACATTTAAATGGCTTCTAGGTTTTACTGTGATAAATGACGCTATAATGAACATACTTTTTAATCTTCGTTTCTTCTTTCCTCTAACCAAAGCTATCTTACTTTCTTATGACAAATTCCAAGAAATGGGATTAATCTTGACCCATTCTGACAAAGTGCTTTGTAACAGTGTCTAACTTACAGCGCTGTGCCCAGCAGCACATGGTAGTAATTGATGTGTTTTAATTGTTATTAAATCATCACTACACCCCCCCAAATCATGGTCTACATATTTCTGCTACATGTTTAATATCTTTTAATTAAAATTACTCAGCGCTGTTGCAGGTTGCAGGATGTGACTGTGGATCTATGTAAGTTTATCTGCACTTCTTACCTTTTTGTTAAAAGGCTTTGTGAAGATGGATTTACACATACCATAGTGTTCACTCAGTTAAAGTGCACAATTCATGGTGTTCAGTACGTTCATGGAGTCGTACGACCTTCATCACACTCTAACTTTAGGACGTTGTCATCACTCCACAGGAAGCCCGTACGCCGGGGTGGGACCTCTGCAGTCACCTAATCCCCGGCCTTTGGATGCCAGTCATTTCCTTTCTATCTCCCCAGATTTTCCTGTTCTGGGTAATGCACATGAATGGAGTCATAAAACGTGGAGTCTTCTGTGTACGGCTTTTTAAAATTTAGCATCACGTGTTAAGGTTAATCCATGTTGTAGCAAGTATCAGTATTTCATTTTTTATGGCTAATATTAAATCTTATGGATATTTCACATTTTATTTAGCCATTCACCAGTTGATAGACATTTGGGTTGTTTCTGTTTCTCAGCTCTGAGTAGGACTCGTTATGATGAATAGTGCTGTGAACATCCAGTTCTTCCCGTGGACTTACGTTACCGTCTCGCTTGGGCAGATATCTGGGAACAGAATGGCTGGATCGTATGGTAACTCTGCGTTTAACATTTGAGGAACCGCCAAGCTGCTTTCCAAAGTGGCAGAAACATTTTTGCATTCTCACCAGCAGCGTGTGAGGGCTCCTACTTCTCTGCCTTCTCGCAGGAATGTGTTATTGTCTGTTTGATCCTGGCCGTCCTGGAGGGTGTGATGTGATGCCTCACTGTGGTTTTGATGTGTTTCCCTAAGGACTAACTATGCTGAGCATCTTTTTACATGTTTGTTGACATTTGTGTATCTTCACTGAGTAGAGAAGTGTCTACTCAACTTCTTTGCTTTTTTAAAATTGGATTATTTATCTCTTTACTAATGAGCTTAAGAGTCCTTTGTATATGCTGGACACGAGTCTCTTCTCTCATATGTTTTTGAAATGTTTTCTCCCATTTTGTGGGTTGTCTTCTGACTTTCTCGATGGTTCGGGTTTGAATTGCTTCTGGTGTCCTTTCAACTCGGCCTGAAGGATTCCCTTAGCTTTTCCTGCAAGGCTGTTCTGCTAGTGGTGGATTCTCTGTTGTTCTCTATTTGGGAACCTCTTAATTTGCATATAGAGTTCCTGGTTGATGGTTTTTCTTTTGGCTTTTTGAAGACGTCATCCCACTGCATTCTGGTGAGAAGTCAGATGTTAATGTTATTGACAATCAGTCTGTGATGAGTTATTTTTTTCCGCCACCTTCAAGGTTCTTTCCTTATTTCTGGCTTTCAGTAGTTTGGCTGTGCTGTGTCTGGATGTGCACTGCCTTCCTGTTGGTTTTCACGGCTACCATGGGTGTGAGGTTGCTGGTTTTTAAGGCTGCTGTGGAACTGGTGAGAGAGAAGTGGGAGCAGATGAAGCCACGACGCACAGACCCTCCTGTTCTCACCAAGGTTTGCATTTTCGCTGATCATGTGCCCCTCAGGTTGCTGCAAGCCTTTGGTTAATTTCCAGAGCTCTTGAAATTTTGATTTCAGTAATTTTTGCCATTGCGTTTGTAGAGGAATGAATTTACAGAGGCCTCGATATGCCATTCTGGAAGCCCCGCTCTCCTCTTTACCTTCATCATACTTTTTTCTGTTTTATTGGAACTTCTGTTCCTCTGTGGAAGCTTCTCCTTATGGCTATGGTTTCTGTCATCCGCCGAGGACAAGTAAGAACCGGCCTAAGGTAAGTGAGACGTTGAGCCTATAATACGTCACGTGACCAAGTCCATGGAATTTAAGAGCCACCAGCCAAGTGGTGTTGAACACTGACTGTCTCATCGCTGTCAGAACAGTGAAACTTTCCCTTTTGCATGCCTGGGTCACGTTACAGGGGGCAATGTGGGGCAACTGTGATGTTCTCCCGACCCAACCTCAGGTCTTGAAGGGGGACTTGACTGTAGGATGGTATAAACAGTAGAGGAGGATTCTTCATTCAAAAACAAGGCTTGCAAAAACAATGTCAGCCTCTGCAGTAGTTTTGATGGCTACCCTCCATAGACTGCAGAGTCAGCCAGGCAGGACACCTGCAATGCCACTGAGAGCCAGGCTGGAAAGACAAGACTTGTTCAGAAAAATGATCAAGACAAAAACCAGAGCAGAGCGTCCATTAGAGCAGGAAGTTTAAAGAGAGCAGGCAGAGAGGACTTCCTCAGCTGTAGGGGCTGGACCTCATTCCGTTGCTAACTCCTAAATCCTACCCATTGACTGCTGGGGACTCGACACCCATGAATACCTGTTGAAAGCATGAAAGTTTAACGAAAATGCCTCGGCTGGAGCGTGCTTAATGTTTGCTAGTTTCTCCTGGGGCACTCATTGCTAAATTCCCCTTGCGACCTTCCTCACCTTGAGGGTCTCATAAAGGAATCCCATATATGGTTGTTATTTACTTACAAACCTGCCGAGAGATGCAGCTGAGCTTTTTACTGCATTTTTGCGAATTGAAACACCGAGTAGTGCTCTCTGTTGTTTGGGAAAAGTTAGTGGCTCAGCCATTCAGTCCTAGGCGGTAGTTTCCTGCTCGGTTCACTGTTGTATGAAGGCAGTTAATTTTGTAGATGAATAGGTTTAATATTTATTGCGAAGTCATAGGGCACTTGAGCAAGCATGTGAATACCCCTTATGTTCCTAGAATAGAGTGCATGATACGGCTTTGCCTTTTTAAAAGCAGTTTATAGCAGCAGGAATTAGGAGACCTGCAGTTGAGTTGCAGCTCTGGTCTTTACTGCCTGGGAAACGTGGTAAACCACCTAACGCTGCCGAGCGTTACTTTCCTCCTTTGTAAAATGGGTGCATAACCCTCTACAGTGTTATTATACAGACTGAAAGAGTTCGGAACCAGAACACTCCATATAAAGTCTAAATCATTCTTGTCTTTGTACCCCTGAGGCTGAGTCTTAAAAGCCTGCCCGCGGTTTGGGGTCGTCTTCCTGATGGGGTGGGAGTTAAGATGGCCTTTCAGATGGATGAGGGCAGGAAGGCAGCTTGGCAGGTGGTCGGGAGGTGGCTGCTGCGGGCATGGGCGTCTGTGCAGAGACACGGGTGGGGGCTGGAGCAGGAGGGGGCGCAGCGGGAGCCAAGACGGGGCTGAGAGCAAGGCGGTGAGTGTGGAAGCTGCGGCAGGAACGTCCACCTCGGCCGCTTCCGTGTTTAAAGGTTAGGTGTCCGTGTGGCTCTGCACATTATTGGCCATGGGTGCCAACATGGCGTTCTGATTTTGGCACAACTCTGACCGTTTTCTTTAGATGTTTATTTTCGTTTCTCCCCTCTCCCCCCACCCTCCTTCTTTATCTCCTTCTCCTTATTTATTTGTTTGTTTGTTTATTTGGTGGACTTGAAAGTTGGAGTTTGGTGGTGTTTCCCGTCGGCTCTTTTGGCGAGTAGGAGTCGCCCCGCTGGCACAGCTGGCTTTCCTGTGGGTGGCAGGTCCTGGGGACAACCTACCTTGATCCTTTTCCTCAGTCACAGAAGTTGAAGTGTTTCTCAGTGACACCCATGTCTCGACCACCACATTTCACGTGTGAATTCTTATCAGGAAAAGCCATCAGAGTTGCTCTGCTTAAAGACAGAATAAACCACAGAAACCAAAACCCCAGCACAGAATGAATTACAGAAGGAAGGCGACCACTTTTCAGAGGGAATCTGATTTTTCTCATAAAGGCTAGTTATTAAACAAAAAAGATTACTGGCCGCTGAGAGCGATCGATTTTTATTCACTGGAGGAATGCCGGAAGAGACAACCTGGCCCCCCCCCTAAGAAGCCAAAAAGCTTTGTGAGGAGACAAGGAAAAGGGCGCTTGCTGAGGTCTGCTCCGAGGCACATGTCAGACGTTCAGGAAAGCTGAGACACGAGAGGAAAACACCTCGCCCCAACCCTCTCCGCTGACCCGGTG